AATTTGAATTTATGCGGTTGTAGAAGACTGCATATATGCTTACATATGCTCTCTAAAGTGTCAGACATAGAGAACCGCCTCCATAAAATAACCCGCTTGGCACATCGTTCGCTATCCTTTAGTTTTTTAGCCGCGTCGAGTTTTTTTTACTGCGAAAGCTTAAGAGCCGTATTCGCAGCACATGTTTTTGAGACTGACGTCAGGAGCAGAGCTTCCAAGTTGGCTAGCTGGTCGCCAACTATACTCAGCCTAGCTTTATAGTCTTTTATTTCTAAGGATTCCTCGTGAATAAGTCCCAGCAGATCGGTCGAAGACTGTTCCAAGCTCAAGGTATCCTCGTCTTGACGCATTGGAAAGGTATCTTTGTCTAGTGACAGAGGGAGCTGGTGAGCGGATAAAATGACTAAAAATTCAGTAAGGATAGTATATTTTCTTAATTTCAGAAAGGCAAGATTGAGATAATGGGGGCTATAAACTAGCAAGAAATTCGACAGCAAGGCAGGATCAAATTTCAAACGTACAGCACATGTTCAAGGTCAGTAGTAGTTATGCCCTCACAAGATCCGCTTTCAAAAGGAACCCAGACCTGCATCTTGGTCTAATCTCTGAACGGTAAACACCTCCCTGCCACATAGCGCTATTCATATCATGTTCAGTGTTTTTTCCTGTACTTCCCGATTTCTTGCACTGCATGCAGATATTACACCACTATCCCCTCCTCTTACCTCATTTTAGGTGACCTTCTTGTACAAACAGGACGCGGACTCATTATAACTACTTAATATCCGCCCCCAGAAGAAACCTTGGAAACGACTAAGACCCGGGACCATTGGGCCTAGCCTCGCATCCGAGTAATGCTTAGAGACATCGGGCTGAAAGTTTCAGAATAGTATTTAAAATAGCTTTTCACAGTGATATGGAAGGTGCAGTTCTTATAGATTTAGTATGGGTACATTTCCCTCCCGATAACTCCTTCATACATATTAATCAATAATTATTTTATTTTTTTATGTGAAATAAACTTCCCTCTATTTTTTTTGGTTGCTGGCTGCCGTATTGAAACCTGTGTTATGTGTATGGTCTTCAATACGCGAAATAATTTTTGATCCACAGTAGTCTCCAGTGGGGATTTTTTCATTGCTTGCAGAATGGGGATCGATCAAATGACTTTGAATTTTTGGATGCTGCGTGCTTACTCGTTGATGATTTAAAATATTGGATCATAAAAACCCCTAGATCCGTCATCTGCGGGGCCTGCTGCATGGGAGCTCGATTCAACGAGTATACTCCCTACCTCTTTGCTAAGAGCCGGCACTTAATTAGATTCAAATGTAGGTACCCACTTGACCGACCATCGACTACTTCTTTATCCCTTTGTAGGTTTGACCCTGCCATTTGGACATCATCAGCAAACATGAAACACGATTTTCAAGGTTCTGTGCCAGAACATTGATGAAAATGAGAGAGACTAAGGAGCCTAGCACTGAACTCTGCAGAACTCCACTTGTAACCGTCTAATGGTTCGAAATATAGTCACTCACCTTGACCCGGAAGGTGTAATTACTCAAAAACGCTACAATTCAGTCCCCGGATCCACCCGTTATGCATAGGCTCCGAACCGTGAAGTCCAACAATCGATGGCTGAGAGAATCAGATGCTTTACAGAAGTCTAAGTAGCAGACTTCTACATTTTTCTCCTCGTCTATTCGTTGAATGACCTCATCTGGGAACAAAAGCAGATTCGTAAGACATGACTTCCGTTACACAAACCCATAATGTGCCGGTGTCAGGAGTCGATTGCTAGTCAGATGTAGGCAAACCTGTCTACCGATCAGCCGCTCCAGGCACTTACACAGCACTGACGTTAGGCTAACGGGTCTGTAATTTTCTGTTTTGTTTTTCGGTCCAGCCTTGCGCCATGCTACTACGGTAGCTGTACGCCAGTCCTGGGGTAGCGTAGCAGTTTGCACTGATTCCCTAAAAGGTACAGTCAACGGCCCGGCTAGCACCCCACTAGCGGCTGCACTATGGCTGGATGGATTCCATCTGGACCTGCTGACTTGTGCTTGTTGAGCGTCCGGAGTTCCCGACGTAAATCTGTTTCACAGATGGAAATTTCGGATAACTCCGACGTATCAGCTGATCTTGCTAAACGCAGGTTATCATAATCGTCTGGGGACTTATAAACACTTTTTAAGAACTTAAGTAGGGTTTCCGCTTTGTCGCGCTTACACGTAGCTATGCCTCTATCGGGCGAAGCTAGTGTCCCTACACTCTCCCGTGTGCGTCCGTTGGCTTGCACGTACGCATAGAATCTTTTGAGGTTCTTTTTGACACCTTGCGCTAAGTTAAACTCGAAGTCACATTTGGCACGTCTTTGGAGGTCTTGACATCTGTTGCGCGCCCGCTTGTAGCCACTCCAGGCTTGTTGAGTGCCGTAAAGCTTGAAGCGATCCCAGTATTGCCGGAAAATTTTGAGCGCCCTCTCTACCCCGGGTTTCCACCACATTGGTTTATGTTTGGTTAGTCCTTCCCTCAGTGGTGCGAACCTGTCTGTGAGGTTAGTTAACCCTCTTTTAACTGCTTCCCATCTATCCTGCACAGTGCACTCCGGGGACGTCGGGTACCAGCTGACGGTATTTGCAGCTTGTACCAATTCTATGTCGTTTATGCGACTATAGAGACGCATAAGGGTAGGTCCGTACCTACGATAGCTGATCATTAGTCTAAAGCGATGAAATTCGTGGTCGCTTTTGCCCAACGGTTCTTCTACATTTAGACGAGTTATGTCCGAGCTGTACATTGTGACAACTAGGTCCAGCACTGAGGGTCGCTGTTGTCCTCGGTATCCCGTTGTTCTTCACTTCAGGAACCGTTCACCTTGAGAACCCAAAGTCGTGCACCCATGTGCCCAGGATATCTCCGGAAAGTTGAAGTCACCTATTATGAAAAACTCTGATAGCTAGCCAGGGTTTCTTGCATAACTCACAAAAGCTCTGTATCGACCCAAGGAGTCGCAAGAGGGGCACGGTAGACGCATAGGATGCCAATCTGCCTTCTTCCCAGTTGGGCACAGCATCCTACTGCTTGTATGTTGGGGGTAGCTAAGACCAGCTGTGTTTCCCACTGTTTGAGGGAGGACTTAACTAATATTAGTACACCACTGCTCTATCTGCCGTCTACTCTATCCTGCCGGTAACTA